TATATATATATATATAAATATAAATAATGATAATAAATTTTAAAAAAATCAAATTGTTTTGTTATACAATCAAAATTATTAAAATGAAAAATGATAAATAATATCATTTAAATTAAAATTATTTATTATTTTTTGTACATTGTAAATTTTTGGAGAAATTTTGAGTCCTGAAAAAATTCTGCACCCCTTTTCAAAAGTTGTATTGCATCATATTACTCCTTGTTGCCTGCAGAGGGCTACACTTAATCAAAAAATAAACAAGGCAGCCAAAATGACAAATTTTCCAACCTTCCATGACTTTTTCTGAACACTAATGAAAATCCCTGACTTTCCAGGTGTGCTGCTAGTATTAAATAGTAGCTCAAATATAAAACTTTTTTATTTTATATGTAAGTATTATAATAACAAAAAATACACATGCACAAAACATTGATATTTACAACTAAAATAAAAAAAATAAAATGAAATGAAATTAATTTCTTATAAATCATTTAATGCAGTCACTTTATTTCAATTATCTTTTAACCAAAAGTTAACATCTACTGATGTGTTTTATTACAAAACAGTTTTTATTAAATTTTATATTTTGTAGGTATTTAATACATCTTAATATAAAAACAAAATAATTCTTACTTGGGTAATTAAACAGAGGAGGTGCAGTCGATATATAATCAGAAAATGAAGATGTTGCTTGTGGGTAATAGGATGGTGCACCTGAATTGATGACTGGAATATTAGAATATAAAGAACTACTGGGCATTGATGGAGTTGGTGTTGATGTTGCTACTGGACCAGTATTCAAATTCAAGCTATAAAAAATGCAATTAAGGACAGACGATTACGTAATTGTTATAATATATTGAAGAACAGATAAAAGCAAAAAAATATGAATGTAACAAATGAAAACACTAAATGCTGCCAAATTTGTTTCAAATAAATTGGTATCAATATCTAAATTAAAATGAATAAGACTCCACAAGAATAAATATAATGAGGAAATTGCTTTAATGGTGCATAACACATAAATTACCATTGAGGACTTTTGGAACATTTGTCTCCAAAGTGAAGGCCCTAAGTGTATCCTATTGTTGATGGATAATGATCCAAAAAATATACCCTGTAATTGTAATTTACTTATATGTATTTTGCATTTCTTTGAAGCAATTTTCTCATTATATCTATATTAAGACAAAAATTATGAATTCTTTATGTTGAGTATTTTTATTAGTTTCTCATTTTATCCAAGAAAATGACAAAATTCTACACTTTCTGAAAAATAATTTTTCTGTTTTGAAACTTAATTTGGAAATCTGGATTAAAAATGTATTATAAACAACTTTTTTTTTAATACTACTTAATTATTTGATGCTGACAATGTTTTTTCACGTATAGATATTCAATAAAACCTTAATTTATATTCTTAACAAGATCAACAACAAGATTTTGTTAACATGAAATAATAAAATAAAAATTTATTGCTGTAATTATTGTCTCCAAGCTATGCTCCCTAGAAAACTTTCTGCAGATGCCCATGTCTCTGCATATCAGTTTTTCTATTACTTTTAAATTACAATTACAAATTTAGACCAAAAAAAGTAGTTTAAAGTCATTAAGTGTATCTTTAGAAAATGTGAAAAATCCTTTTAAATTATTTTAAAAAATAGATAAATAATAAAAATTTTCTGTAAAATTTTTTAAAAAAATTCAACAAAACCAACATTTTTAGATTCTAAAATATCAGAACTTTTTGATCTAATGGAATATTAGACCAACAACAACCCACACTAAAACTTTCTTTTGAATTAGCTGATCAAAATACTTTAATTTATATCAATAAGAATGTTTTCAACTCTTTTAAAAGGCCATCAAGCTGTTACAAAAAGTATATGCTTAAACTAATAAAACAACAAACAAGAAATAATCAAAACACTTTTGAATTATGTATCTATCTTATTAACATGATCTTATTATAGACACAAAAGTCATAGGATATGTATGCACATGCATTTAATTTTAATGAAATATATTTTATAGTAAAAAAAACTACCACCAACTGGTTAAATTAACAAAATAACTGTTGCACAACCTTTTAAACTAGCAACTGGATATTTTTAAAATTGCGTAATTGCTATATATTTTATAGTATTAAGATATTTTAATCTACTTTATAGGCAATTTTCAAAAATAAAATTCACATCTATGAATTCTTTATATACATTAAATAACATGTTGTTAAGAACTATGTATAAATTCAAGCATTTTTAATAAGTTTCAATTTTGGCAGCTTTACTTGTTTCATTATTGTATTATTATTTGAATCAAAATAATAAAAAGTTATGATGATTAAACAGATACTATAATTTGTGTGGATAACTCATGGATTATTTATGTTTAAAAGGTAATTTGTAAGGGGGTGTAGGTTAAGTAGTGTGTACCAATTTTAAATTACAATTACAAATTTAGACCAAAAAAAGTAGTTTAAAGTCATTAAGTGTATCTTTAGAAAATGTGAAAAATCCTTTCTGAATTGCAGACATTCTTCTGCCACTATAAATTTCTTGAAACTATCAAGAACATATATATGTTCAATCTATGCTTTAATTAATTTGTACTTTTTCAAAGTACAAATTAATTAAAGCTGATAAATTTATACTGCAAAATAATGATGGCATATACCAATTGAAGACAATTAGTCAGTTTGTTGGTGTTCAATTTACAAAAAAAATATTTAATAAAAATACTTCAAATGTCTTCAAAATTTATTATATATATAGATGCAACATTGAAACAAATAAAAACACATCTTTATATGGGAATATCAAATTCTTATTAATGTCATACAAGCTTGTGAAATATTTTTTAGAAGATGGAATGGATATACTACTTATTGGAAGGATATTACATTGTTAAAGTATCTTGATTCAAAACAATTTTCTTTTGGGAAATGTTACTGATAAGAAAACAAAATCCCATTAACCAGCTCATATTTTATTCAGTAGATTATTAGTTAATCATGCATAGTTTTATTCATATATGGCGATACAACACTGGGCAATCTGCTATGGGAAAATGCCTCATGGGAGGTTTTTTTATGGAAACTGGTTCCTATTTTGTGTTTCTAATATGAAGAAAATCTGGAAAACTCCACAATGCCAACCTGCTGGCAAAATGCAAACTCACTAAAAACCATCAGTGTTCAGTGGTTTTATCCATTCAACCACTGGTAGGCTAATCATATATGACAGCATGTTAGAAATTTTACAGTGTGATTAAAATTTTCACACTATTTTTAGTCATATATTAGTTAAAAAGATGCTTTCTAATTGGTTATTTTAATTTTACTCAACATATGAAAATTTGAATTGAATCTATTCTAAATTTTTTTATGTTCTAAAATTCAGTTCCTGATATTTTGTAAATGTTAAAACAAGTATTTTTATTAAATGTCTTTTTTTAAACTGAATACCAACAGTCTCTCTGTCTTCATGTCTGAACTAATTAATAAATTTCTAATACTTAACCTTTATCTAAATATAATGACGTCATTTAAGAGAATTTTGATGGTTGACATGACGTGATAATTGTCATTCTAATAACTATAAATCGTTACTCTTTTCATTGCTATAAAGTAGGTTTTGGTGATTAAAAATAATTACACACATTTAAATGATAACCCTAGTATAGTAGTAGTGATCCTATGACATGTTGGGAGAAATCATGTAGTACTCATCATATACAATTTCAGTTTATTGCCTGATCATCTCTTTTTCATCACATTCTTTATATTTATTCTAATTAAAGCATATTCATTTTATTTCTTTAAATATCATTATTAAAAGCTTAAAACTTTTGCAGGCATAAAAATTTTTTTAAGCAATTATGCTCTGTTGTAATATATTCTGAAACTCTCTCTTCCTTTATTTGAATAATTTATTACTACTAGGTGCTTATAATAGATATTTGGCAATTCTGTTATCAACTTTTATTTCTTGTCCTGCTCTGCAAGAAGGGATTTGCAGAGAAGGACAAGGAAAATATAAATACCAAAGAAAAAATAGAAGCCAACAGAAGAGGGGCTTGAGCCTGAAACATGTCTTGGCAAATAAAAAAATTCCCATCTAAAAGTTGATGACAATTGCTAAGTGTCTGTATAAGCACCTAGTAGTGATAGCAAATTATTAATTATAATTATGCTCATTATGCATGTGAACTCAAAAAGATTTGTCATCCCTACTCTAGTATAATTGTCCATTATTTCATCTTGTTTACACATAGCAGCATTAGATCTGCATTTCTGCTAACAAATTAAAACTAATAATTTCATTACAACTTTGGTTTATTTACTTCATTTTTTAAATTGTATAGTGTAGAAATTCATCTTATATTAATAAAGTAACATGAAGTAAACAAAATTTAAAATTATTATTTAATAACTTTCCAATTACAGTGCAATCCAATAGTAAAATCAATCTTTATACAATGTTTTCTAAACACTAATTGAATGAATGAAACATTTTCAGCATTCTATTGAATAGTCTGATCAATCAAGTTTTTATCATTTAAGGTAGAACATCTTTTAATTGCAAAGAGTTAACTAAAAGGACCAAAAAAAAATTTTTTATATTGCTTAATTTCTGTTTTATTTATCTAATAATATAACAGTAAACACAAAAAAATTAAATAGCAAATAATTTGATGTCTCATATATATATATATATATATATATATATACAGTAATACCTCANATATATATATATAGGCTTAGTTCTCATACAGAAAATTACTGGTAAAAATTGGAAACAACAAAAATTGCATCAGCAATAACATTCAAGCAAATTTTTCTGTTTTGCAAATTATGGTTACATCTTAAAATGTTGAACTTTTCTACTAGTGAAAAACATTCACCATTAATCACAATTACAAATTTTTAGAGATAAGGGAGAGATTTAAACAGCAATACAAAGCTTATATTTTTTAGTTATATTATTACAATTATAATAATTAATTTTAAAATTTTAATTTTGATAAATAAATAGACAAAGCAAATGTGAAAGATCACAGTTGTCAGCATTTGTCTTGTCTAATGATATTTACTATCATTCACACAATTCTCAATTTCACTGTTCTCATTTTCCAAAACAGCAATGAGATTCAAATTCATTATGAAAAAATAAGTCAGTTTTGTATTTTGTTTTTGCTAAAAAATGACTATATGAACTAACCTTCTTAGTTTTTCATAGAAAATTGCCAATCCTTGACAGTGATGATAACATCTTCATTAAAATTATTTTCTATTTAACTTTCTCTGAGTTTATTTTAACATTGTTTTATTTATCATATAAAAATAAATTTAGGTTCTCTTCTCAGCATTCCACCATTTTTTGTTCCAATTATTTTATTATTGTATCTACAATGAAGTGAAATATATAAACAACATTTTAAACGTTTGAAATGTTCCCTTATAAACTGAATACCAGTATCATGCTTTCAATGGCTGCTATATACAGGTAACATTTGGCATTTTCATTTTTGCTTATTTGTGATAGAAAAGTTGTGACCAACTACATGATTATTTGCAAAACATTTGTGTATCTGTGAAATTTTTTTTTACAATATTTCAGTTACAGTACAGAACTTGTAAAAAACATTCTTTAAAAATAAAAATAAAATTGAAGACAAAGTCTGTTAAAAAAAGGAATCACTTTCAATGTTCCAGAATATAAAGTTTTGATGACCAACCTTTCAAAACTTTGACAAAACTTATTTTTAAAATGAATTGCCATCTGATGGAATTCTACAATTGAACATA